AACCCGAGACCATACACGGGATGGCGACTCTCGCTTTATAATGGATTTATGCAGACACGAGGGGGCGACCCTCGAATTGCACTGCCCTGTCCAGACAATTAGACCTTGCCTCCAGCCATCCTTTGTTCTCAGGGAAGCCGCACGGATCCCGGATGAGCCCCCAAATGTTAAAGTCCAAGAACTCAGAGTTTTCCCAAGAGAACAAAGCACACAAGCATAGAAATGTAAGTACAAGCAAAGTCTTTATTCAGCCAGCAAGCTGGGGTCGACAGCATCTCCCCTGACACGCAGGCCGAGTCCGAGCTGCCAACCCCCAAGCAACTTTAAGTATTGCTTATATAAGATTTTCACAGCCGTTACACCGAAGCTCGCGCATTTCTACAACCAATAATTTTAAAACACATTCTATATTGTAACCTTTTAGGAAACACTCCAGTTGCCTGACCGCTTCAATTGTTATCTCTTGCTTACCCAAGCATGTCTATGTGACGTATCACAGATCACGCCCCCAGGCTGTTGCCCACTTCTAGTTATCTAACTTAAAGCAGGTGCATTTCTAAGCTTAGCCTCGGGTTGTTTATTCAAAACTGGATGGCCCATCCTTTAAGCAGTTAAGTTAAATGTTATTAGTCCTTTTTCCTGACTCTTGATGCCCTCTGCCCTCCTTTACACTTCCAGAGACTTTCACGATTCCTTTGGCAGATCCCTGCTTTCCTGGTTAATGGTAAATGTAAAAAAGGCTATGATTAGGAGGAACACTCCTTAATTCTTGAAGTTATTGCAGAATTTGCTGCTGAAGCAATAGTTGCCCAAAAATGATCCTTAGGCTTTCTAGCCAAAATTGCCCCTGATAACAGGATAGCTCTTGATTATCTTTTAGTTGTGCAAAGACGTATCTGTGCTGCGGCCAACACTACCTGCTGTGCCCAACACTACCTGCTGTGCCTGGATTAACACTTCTGGGGAAGTTGAAACTCAGTTACAGGATCACAGAACAAGCCACTTGGCTTAAAAATGTGATTCCTTCAGAGGGGTCTTTCTTTCATTAATTTGATTTTCTCTGGTTTGGGTCTTGAGCACGATGGCTCTGAAGTGCACTCCCAACACTGGGAATTATCCTGCTTATAGTTATCATAGTAACCTCCCTGGTGTGTTGTACCCTCCCTAAAGCTTTAAATGCAAGTAAGTAGCCACTAATTACCAAACAGATGATCTCCCTGAGACTGGAGCTTCAGAAGAAAATCAAAGAGAATGACTGACTTAAAATCATGAACCTGGAGTTCAAAACTGTGAACATCACAGAGATTAAGCAAAAATGTTATGACTTACAGACACCACACAACAGGAACAACAAAAGCAGTGTGCACTAAAGAGTGGTAGCTGAGAGTGACGCGGATGCCTTAAATTTTGATAATGTTTCAGTTAAGCTGAGAGCCTGATCAAACAGAGGGAGCTTTTAAAAAGAAAGACCAAGGCCCAACCTGGCGTCACTTCTGCTAGGCCAAGTCACCAAACTAGGGCTTAATGCCTAACCTAATTGTCATTGCAGAAATGTAGTCAGTCAGGAATTTTCTGGAAAGCATCAATAAGAAAATGTCACATGTGTCCTCTCCATCCCCCAAAGGAATCCACCCTTTGTGGACCCTTTTGTCCCCAGATAAAGGTGGTCTCCCCTGAAATCATTCTCTTTTCTATTAAGAACTTCCTTGTCCTGCCTTTAAAAACTTCTCTTTGTTGCCCCTCAGAGCATCTCTACTTGTTAGAGGAGATGCTTCTCAGTTCATGAACCACTTCATAAAAGCCAAATACATCTTCAAATTTACTTGGCAGAATTTTGTTTTTAACATGGTTTAGGGAGATTAATTTATAGAGGGAAGGAGAAAGTGTCTATGTGGAAGGGGAAATAAGAAAACAAAGTCTACATGCAGGGCAGCCACTTGAATGCTCACTGCTGACTTCCAAGTGTCGTCACTGGAATTAGAGCGAGGAGTCTCGCCCCAGGTGACAATGTTAATTGTTCCAAGATGAATATTACCTAAAAGATACTTGGGTATCAGTGGAAAAGAAATATAAACGTGATCCATGAGTCAACATGGTGGCTTTGTCAAGATGGTATTACTCTTGCTTATAGACACCCCACCAAGTGACTGATTAGAAATACAGTGTCTCCCAGTAAGACACACATAACCATTACTTGCATTTGCCCCTACTCCTTGAAATTTACCATGCAAGTCTCTAAGCAAGTGCATTCTGGAATTTTAAAAGCTGTCTTTTGAAAACAACCCTTTGGAATCCACCATAGACTTAAATGGGGTAATTAAGAAGGAACATATTTGACCTTAGCATGAAATATAACACTCAAGCCAAAAATTAAATTAATAAAGGAACATAATAGCTCTCACATATAGTAGCTACACTCTTTTATTGCCATGGGGAGAAAATGATAATTTAAAATCGGGAAATTCTATCAGAAACACATATTTCCTAGACATTGACATAGAAATACTAATACTTATAGATGAAGACAGTCAACGAACTGCCTGCTCCCATCAAAACTATTGGTTTTTCAAGGCAAAGGCCTTCCCAGCCTTGGTCTTTGTACTGCTGAATGAATTCCAAGGCATCCCCTGAGGCCAAATTTGGGAAGTCCATGAATATATTGCATATAAATCTGAAGTTTCCAGTCAGCATGTTTACTAGCACAGTTATTACCGGAAGGACTAAGGTAGTTTTCACATTTATATGTGAAAAACAGGAAACCACTTGTTAATAATTACATCCCTAGTAAAAATTTTATTAACGGTGAATGGTAAATCACATTGCAATTGCTTATGGGCCACAGAATGAGGGAAACTGAGAGTGAAAGAAAGACTGCCAGTTTCCTTAGGAGGACAAGATAGAATCTAACTTGTTGACTATAGTTACTGGAAGCTGAAGTTTCAGAGATTTGGAGGTGTGGGGCCAGCTGTAAGATGAGAAGGTGGAGTGGAGGGTGAAGGCAGTGAATCCAAGAACTGAGCCCAGATACGAACAGATAGTGGATAGTATCTGGTGCACTGAAAGTGAACCTCTACCAGAGACATAGCAGGGAATGTGACATACAGAGATGAAGGATGGAAATTATCTCCATCATTTCCATTCATGTAAAAGTACACCAAGAAGTCTTTTTAAAAAAGGCCAATTTTATTTACTATTTAGACACTGATAATAAAAAGACAGGTTATGAGAAACCAAAGCCACGCCTTAGATACCAAAGAATTATCCTCTGTAATTAACAAATCAAGCCCTGGCTTCACCTTCAGCAAATGAGCACCATTTCCCTAAATGAACACTTAAGACATTACTCACAGATGTCCTAGGAGGTAACAACTGTAACTTCTTTACTTCATCAGGGCTCAAGAGCTAGGCTTAATTGAATCCCACCTAATGACAAGATACACAGCTATAAGCATTATGCTCCATCATATTGAAAAAGAAGTTTAAGACCCTGAAAATGGACTTCAGACGCATCATTACTGAGCCAAGCTCTAACTGTATTTGAAAGTAAAACTTATTCCAGTTGCTAAGCTAGATGAGAAGAGCAGAGTTTCTGAAAGTCTGTAAGAGAATAAACAGGAGGGGAAGCCAACCAGCGTTATGGTTTATAGCTAGAAGGAGGCTCCCAGAGTTTTCTCATATCTGACAAAGCTATGCAAGCTTTTGAATTTGAGAAGAGCTAAAAACCCAGGTAATGTTCTCATGTGCCTAAGTAGCTCACTCTGAGATATCTAGCCCAGTGTTCTCTAAACAACTGACTCAAAGAGAGAAAGAAAATAGAAATATGAAGAAACAAAATGAGTTGAAAAGATTTAAGGAACCTCCCTTCCCTTGAATCTCTATTCCCTGAGACATGAGAACTAGCTTCTTAAATCTCCACAGTAGGGATTTGGGGGAGCACCATGACTCCTTTGCCACATTCTCTCAGCTCAGAATGAAGATGCAAATTTCCTTCCATAAAGCCCTCTGTACTATTTAATAAAGGCTTATACAGTGAATGAGATTTTGCTGCTATGATGTGCTAGAGACAGCTTGCAAAAGTTGATTGTTAATCTAGTATTCAGTAATTTTGTGAACTGGTTATTCAAACACTGGTGGCTTAAAATTGGCAGTGGTGGGAATATTTATACCATGGAAATTGGCAAGCACTACAAATCAGGGCTTTTTTTTAAACTGAGATCTGATTTCCCAGTATACCACTGGATATAACATTTTGGGAGAAAAATCTTAAAGTGTTCTTAAACACTTTAATTTTTTTTCCCAAAAAGCCTTATTTTTTCAATTCATTCTACAGCTTAGGAGAAGGCTCCAGATTAAAAAGCTACTGAGTGTCTGCAGGGAAAGGCTCAGGCAAAGCCCTGACACCAAGGGGATGCCAGAAAGGCCCTTCAAAGTCTGCTGGGCTCTGGAGGCTCCTAGTCATGCTTGCGGGTGAGCCTTTCAAAGATATACTCGTCCAGCCCAGTATAACTGAGGAGGTTAGTCAGGCGGTTGCTGGTCTTCATGAATTTCACCTGCTCATCTAGGATGCAGTTCTCCCAGAAGTCACAGAACTGGGGGCCTGTGTGGGCAGAACCCAGGGCAAGCAGGTCCAAAAGGGCGTGGGTCAGGTTCTTCTCTGGGACCGTGGCACTTCCATGGAGTACAGGGTTTCACCCCACTCATCTCAGGACAGCTTCTTGCATGCTGGAAGAAGGTGCTGCATCCACGCTACTTTCCTATCTTCAAGAGATGCTAGCTCAGCACCCTGCGGCATCTTCTCTGCCAACCTGCAAAAGAAGTGGCCCTCGCCCTCCAGAGCCACATTTTTGTGATGGCAATAGAAGCCCAGAAGAGGTAAGTGTGGGAAACCTGCAGGTGGATGTTGACTGGGCAGTTGACAGGGCCTTTACCTCAGTGGAATTATTAGGACAAATCTGGATGCTCATGTTTCATCAGGCAGTAAGGAGCTAAGCTCAAAAAAGGGTCCTGGAGGCAGAGGATAGCCGAGAAGATTGTTCCAAAAGTTGCAACTAGAAAAGAGATTGGAGGGTGATGGGAGGCTAGAGGAAGGGATGTACGTCCCCAAGTCTGTTCCTTCCAAACACCTGAAGCAAGAACAAATACAGGGCTGCTGGGTGCACTGCAGGAATATTTTTTAAAGGTATCTCTTTGCTAGCACTGATGCTGGGGAATTGAATTCATGCCTCTCTCAAGAGTAATCATGACAAGCCTGGCTTTTACTGTTTTGTAACATTTTATGGGATATAATTTAATCCAAGGGGTAATGAAACTCATGTGATATAGGCAGGCATGACAACACTGCCCACAGAATGGGATTTCCCCTTGGCTCATCATGGGCCAAATCACACCTTAATGAGTGTATTCATGGATGAATGATTTTTCCCTGCTACCTTGTGAGCTTCTTAACAGCTGGCAGGTCAGTTTAGTCAGCTTTTCTGTTCAAGGCCTCGTCCTAATGTAGGCACTATTCTCTGTGACTTCTTGTCTGATCTCATTACCACTCTCACACCCTGTAACACTCGGGAAATGCATGTGTTCCCCCTTACCTGCCTCTTACCTAAGAAATAACCACCAGCCTATGGTAAAGGGTGAAAGGCAGGCAGGAAATTGATGTAACAGTGCCTTCCCTTTGGCCAGCAACCCCAGAATCCAGGGATTAAACAAGCTTCTACTTATATTTACAAGCTAGGCAAAGTGTAGCTCTGTTGTGCAGAAATGGATATTGGTCTGAATTACTATTTGTTGGTGAAGAAAAATGCTAGTTTAATCATGTGGCCCAAGAACTCAGACATCACTCAGATAAGCATTAAGGCCTCATAAGTATTCAGTGGGAAATTACCTCCTTTCTGGTGCCTATTCCCTGTCCTTAGCTTGTTTTGCCCCAGCAGCCAGATGATTATAATGCACTGATGCCATTCATTCATTCTTTCAACAAACATCTGTTTACTGCACTGTGGCAGGCACTGTAGAAAAAAGAACATATGTAGCATAAAGGATATAAGAAGTTTATATGGTATTAGGTGATAAAGTTTTTCCTATACTTATTAGAGGAATAAAAGGTCATTATTTAGGCTCTAAACTCTGTTTTGGTTTTTTAATATATTTGTGATTTCAAGCCAATAAATTATCTTTTAATGTCAACCTTAAAAAATAAAAAAGCCAGTTAGTTCACCAGCAAAGGAGTTTATCTGGGAAGAGCAGAGGATCTGCAGTTCTGAACATGCAAACTATGGGGAACATGAGTGTGGATAAAATGAGAGTTCCTGTGGCCAGGATTCTCATCTGGCCCTGGTTGACTAGCTCACTGCACACCTGTGGGCAATACATGGCTGTTGACTCTATATAAACAGCTTCGCCCAGTGCTCTGGGTGCAACACAGTGGCAAGGCTGCAAGGCTGCAGGAGAGCAGAGCAGAGGCTAGAGTAGTGGCAGCACCAAGGACAGAGGCCCGGAGAACAGCTGTGCGGGACGACTGTGCAGAGAGGCCCAGAGGATCTCTGTGGAAGGCAGAATGCTCACCACTATACCACCAATGCAGAAGGGGCTGTTTGGAACTAGATTCCTTTGGAAGAGGGCGAGTTCTGAGTTGCAGTGGCTTCTCATTGGCTGGGCTGTTCCAGTCCCGGAAGTGTTGACATCACTGACTACTTCTTTCTGCAAATAATACTTCATGGTAATTTGACCTCATTTCCTCCTCATTATATCTATTTGGGAGAGAAGAGCCAACTTCTGAGACTGTAGGAAGTGGAGAGAAGGATGGGGGGCATGCTGAAGCTAGTCCCACACCCAGTCAGGGCCATCCTTGGCCCAACCCAGGAGTGAAGTCTGGAGTTTCTCAGGGTGGAAGAGCAGGAAGAGCATAACCCAGCTATTCTCCTTTATGGGAATCAGCCCAGCAGAAAGCGGAGAGGTGATTAAGGTACTCCCGAGGCAGTGTTTTAATAGAGTCCACATTACTTTCTTTTTCTTCAAAACTTTCAACAAAACTGCTCTCAAGAAATAAAACAAATTCCCATGTTCCCATTGCTCTTAACCATGTACCCATTCTGAAATGTCTGTGGATGGGCCCATAAACTCAGGAAGAGGGAGAATGAAGGAAATTCCTTCCAGATCCTAACTTTACAAACCATTTTAAAATCAGGATTAATTTAATAGAATATAATGCTTTGCTCTGATTTTTCTATTACTTTAAAATTTCACCCACCTGAACATATGACCATTGTCTTTTTTTCAGTTAGACTAAATCTGGAGAATGTGTCTTTTTGACAATTTTTAAGAGAAAATAAGTAATATGAAGATGAAGAATGGACATTGAGATCCTAAGACATACGTTTTTATAAAATATGCTAGGCCTTCGTAATTACAACCCTTAAATAGAATTCGTGCCTCATATCGAATTTACCGAGTATCATAATTCCTCCAGGTGGTGAAGATACCTCGAGACAAGTGCTGGGCATAGAAGCCACAGGGCATAAATCTGCAAAGAAGCAAAAAGCTAACCTTTTCAAACAATATGGCTTTTCTCTCACTTACCAACTTTACATTTCCCTGTATGGCCCCGGAAGATGACTGGTTAGCCAGAGACGGGTAAGATTCCTCAAGGGAGGAACAACCTAAGACAGGCACAG